AATCCATCTGGTGGTGATGCTGTCTAACCCACATTCTTCTACTTTATCTAGTAGTAGGTTATGGTCTACCTTATCAAATTGGTCCTGTACAAATTGGCCCTGTATAAGTCTAAATTAAAATAGCAAACACAAACCCTAGCCAATAACACTGTGCAAAGGCTGTTTAGATTGCACCATTGTCCAAAAGATTTCATCTTTAGCAAACAAAGATTGTATTTATTTAAAATTAGCAATATTTGCATATCGAACTGTAGGCAGTGAACAAATGATGGTGTGGGAACAGCTTTCACGGTGTTGAGCTATGATGGCGCAGTGGTTAGAGTGCAGTACTGCAGATTACTCCTGCTGTCGGCTGCCTGCAATTTGGCAGATCAAATCTCACCCGGTTCAAGGTTGACTCAGCCTTCCATCCTCCCAAAGTGGGTAAAATGAGAACCCAGATTGTTGGGGGCAGTGACATGCAGTCAGGTGAGGCAGGTGAGGCACAGCCTCACCGCTCTTGTCATGAAAAGAAAAAAATGTAAAAGGAAAAAGGCGAGTGCTGAAGTGAGGCTAGCAGCTGCCTAACTGTGGAAAAATGCCTCTAAAAAAGCGCCCTCTACTATGAGGCAGGAGACCTGCATGCCTCATCTAGTCTGACTTTTTAGGCGTTTTATGATTGCTCAAGCAGAGTTAAGCGAGGCTTAAAAGCCTAAAAAAGTCCCGGGGTAGGTGACGCACGCAGTTCTCCTGCCTCATAGTAGAGGGCGCTCGTTCTTCCTGTGACTCAGTGGCACCGCAGCTACCCTTCTTTCCTTTTTCTTCCCTTCTTGCTTGCGATACAGTGACAATAAAGGGGAAGCGCAGAGATGTACCTTCATCTCTTCATTGATTTCCCTTTTTACTGGATGAGCCAGCTTCCTGCTTCTTTTATTTTCTGGAGGTCTCACTTCTTTCTCCATTTCTGCCACTTTTTATTTTATTTTATTTTTATGTTTGGTGTGCGTTCGTGTGGGGGGGGGCGCATGCATGTGTGTATGTATCTACTTTGGTGGAGATGAAATGGCTGCTGGTATTATTTGGGAAAAAGCTTTTGGGGGAAGGTTGTGGAGAGGAAGGGAGGGAGAACGGGGGCAGCTTTTAGTGCTCATTTGTTTCCCTCTCTTTAATCTCTTTCTCATTCTCTCCCTTCAGCTCTCTTTCATTTCTCTCTATCTATCTCTCTTTCTCCCCTTTTCTCCTTCATCTCTTTCTTGCGCGTGCAAGCAAAATACCCCGGGATCACAGTGGCGGGGACAGCAACTTCTTCCGCTGCCGCCACTGAGAAGTGAATACCTGGCTCCGCTGCGGAGAAGAGTCACTCTGTGCAGGAGACTCCTTAGCACTAGACTCAGGTCAGTGCGAGCCACGGTCCCATTCACCTCCTTCCTGAGCCAACACTAAAGAGTCTCCTGCACAGCATGGCTCTTCTCCGCAGCGCAGCCAGGTACTCACTTCTCAGTGGTGGCAGCAGAAGGAGTCGCTGACCCCGCCACCGTGATCCCGGCCCTGAAAAGTATTTTGTTTGCACGCACAAGGAAAAGATGAAAAGAAAAGGGGAGAAAGAGAGAGGGGGGGAGCAATGAAAGAGAGCTGGAAGGAGAGAATGGGAGAGAGGGAAAAGAGGGAAACAAATTAGAGAGAGAAGGGGGAG